CTAAATCAAAAAGTAGTGCAATTAATTAAAAGTTGTCTTCCAAGTACTATGATCTTTTACTATATGTTTTTGCCACTGTAATTTATAATTACGTATACCCAATAACACGTATGATCTGTTTTTCCACATTTCTCTCTAATACATATAAATTAACCATGTACCAGGATATATTACCTTCTCTACTTCCAGGTATTTATTCAGTAGGGGGAAACAAAAACAAATAAACAAAAAAAAAATGGGGGGGGGGGAAAGGAAAAAGAAATTAGTGATTTATTTTGTACAGTCTGTTCTATCTGTCCTTTGTTTTTATATCCTGTCTTTACTATATTCTTCCATTTTGCTTTGCATTGTTGTAATGTTTTTCCACTTGCTAAGCATGGAAAGATTATCCATTATTGCTAACTCGTGGATTTTTATTTTTCATTCCTTAATAGCTGGTCCTTCCCCACTTTTCCAATACCTTGCATAGACCATACCAGCCGCCGCAATGTTTTTTCAGAGTGGGACTCGGGGACGTGTTCAAGTTAATTTCAAGTTATGGTGACCCACTCCTAGGACTGACTCTCTTGGCTCGATTTCCTCAAAGGGGACTTGCCATGGCCTTCCTCTGAGGCTGAGAGGGGGACTTGCCCAATGTCGATTCGTGGGTTTCTATGGCTGAGTGGAGGAATTGAACCTTGACATCAATGCGCAAACCATTACACCTCCCCTCTGCTAAAAGACAATGTGCCAGTGGCTTCTGCTCCCCTTATGCCATGCAGAATGATCTCCAAGCAATCCAGAGACACACTGAAGGCACTGGTGAATAATTATGGCAAAGAAAGGATTCGAACCCTGGTCTCCGAGAGTCCTAGTCCAATATTGAAACCACTGTGCCACATTGTCTCTCTTTGTGTAAGTCCACAGTCATATAATTATACAGTGGTTGCAACACACCTTGTTGTTGTTGTTCTTGTTGTTGTATGCCTTCAAGTCTTTTCCAAATTATGGTGACCCAAGGCAAAGCTATCATGAGGTTTTCTGGGGCTGTGACTATGTGACTTGACTGACCAAGGTCACCCAATGGATTTCCATGGTTGAGTGGGGAATCAAATCCTGGTCTCCAGAGTCATAGTCCAACACTCAAGCCACTACATCTCCCCTCTGCTAAACAAAGACTGTATGAAGGCAACAGGGTCCCTGCCCATGTGCCAACTGCTTCTGCCATGCCATGTGGATTGATTCTCAGGGGCCACTAGATGCGGGGCAGATTGAAGGCACTGGTGAATAATTATGCACCACCCAAGAGTGGGCCACTAGATGGCTGGAACCTTTATTGGTTAGAGGAGACCCACTGAATCAATGGGTAAAACATGGGTAAATCTAATTGCAATGGGCCCTCTGCCTTCACTGGGGTTAAGGGCACAAGACCCCTGGGAATGTGGAAAAACCACAAATGAAAAAAACACTATTTTTAAACCTGAGAGAACACTTCTCTGGCAATCTCTAGGTCCTCCAACACAACTCTGTGGTCAACGTCTATCAGAAGTTGACCATAGAATCACACCGGAGGACCTAAAAATGGCTAGAGAAGTATTTTCTCTAGTAATTTCTAGGTCGTCCAGAGCAAATCCACTAATAATCAAATCTGCAAAAGCCAAAGCTGCAAATGTTCTCTCTAGGGACCTTATCAC